CAAAGGGGGCACAAAGAAAAAGCTACTGTATACAAACACTCCAGGGGTGAGGTCCAGGTAGCACGCCAGGGGCCAGACCAAATCCAGGGGTACATATGGTAGCCAACTAAAAAGGAGTTGGGGTGGAGGAAGGAAAGGAAATAAAAAGAGGTGTGGTGGGGGAATAGGGCACTGAAGTTGCAGCTAGGGGAGAGGGACATGTCTGATCAGAGCGTACTGGGAGCAAATGAATGAGGAAGACGAGAGAGTGGCGTACATCCTAGCCCACCAGACCTAGAAGACAATTATCCCCACTCCGAACAGCGAATACAGAGTGGACCATATGGCTGATCCCACTATGAGACACGACGTCCCTCGCTGACCCATGGCCCTACAGGGGACAACAGTGGAGACTCAGTGTCGGGATTGGCCTGGTCTGACCCCATGACACCGAGGCAAAACACTAAAAGCGTGCAGCAGAGCAACAGGGGGAGCAGAGCAGGGAGGTCCTGAGGGAGTGCAAAGGATAGACTTTGGGGCACGACCATCACACCCTATTGGACTTGACTGGAGGACATGCCTAGAGGTTAAAAATCAGACCTTGATCAATTCACAGGTTTTTCTTTCTTTTAAAAATTTTTACTTTTTCTTTTTTTTTTCAAATTAATTTATTCCTTTTTGGGTCATTGGTTTTCTTTTGTTGTCATCATTGTGTTCTCTTTTGTCGCTTTGTCTTGCTATGCCTTGTTTTTGGTGCATATTATTATCTATGCAGATCTATCTAGATAAGATAGGCTGGGTGAACAGTCTGGAGGAGTAAAAAATGGGACCGATGGTTCTGGGGGGACATGGGAGAGGGGAAGGCGGGGGAAAGGAGGTGGTTTTGACCAACCCAGGGACAAGGGAGCAACAAGTGATCCAAAATAAGTGACAAGGAGGGTGTGAGAAGCAAGGGCAATGTAACTGAGAGAAATGACTGAAACCCAAATGAAGGCTGAGCATGAAAGTGGGACAAGAGGAAAGCAAAAGGAAATAGAGGAAAGAACTAGGAGGCAAAGGGTATTTATAGAGGTCTAAATACAGGCATGTACATATGTAAATATATTTATATAGAATTGGGGTAGGATAGATCTACGTGCATATATTTATAGGTTTAGTATTAAGGCAGCAAATGGACATTGGACCTCTACTCAAGCTGATGGTGCCCGGCTAACAAAAGATATAGTGTCTGGGGTCTTAAAAGCTTGAAGATAAACAAGCAGCCATCTAGCTCAGAAGCAAC